ACTCTCGTTGTCGCCATCGTCTTTTACATCCCTCCGTTGTGCTGCACCATTGCTAGTTGAGGAGAGTGTTCCTCCCTCGATTCACTCGCTCTTGCGGAAGTCGGTTTTTGTTCCATAACTGCTGCTTGTCTCTTTCCTCTACACGCTCTTGACTTTTCGAGCGCATATGAACCTACCTAGGTAGCTACTTACGCAACTCAAGAGGACTTGTGGTGGAACAAGGAGTCGTCGCAATTGTTTCAGTTCCAACGTCCGTCACGCCAATACGAGATAAAACCGACGCAAACTATCACTGTATCCCGATTCCAACTTGACTTCGTCATCATAGAATCTTGCTTCAGCCTCAAAATGATTCCTTCCAGTCTCTCATTATCGCTTTTGGCCCTGGCGGGTGGTGCACTTGGCGCCGACCTGCCATCCATCCAAATGAAGGTAGGGCGGGCAGCTTGTTCCAAATGTGACGTCTTTGGTCGTCATTGACTAACAGGATACTCGTTGCTTCCAATAATATAGGGCTCCAAATTTTTTTTCCCTAATGGAACTCAATTCTTCTTCAAGGGTATTGCGTATCAGCAGCAGACTGGCGCAGCCGGCTCGACACCTACAAATTCGACCTTCATAGATCCTCTGGCTGACACCAAGCGCTGCGAAGCCGATGTCCCTAATCTCGCTGCGCTCAAAACCAATGTCATCCGAGTTTATTCAATTGACCCTGCCAAGAATCATTCAGCCTGCATGAAGCTGCTCAATGACAACGGCATCTATGTCGTCGCAGATTTGGGCGAACCAAGTCTTTCCATTAATCGCAATAGTCCCGCGTGGGACACCGCACTCTTCACCCGCTATCAGCAAGTTGTTGACGAGATGGCCAAGTATTCCAACACGATTGGTTTCTTTGCTGGCAACGAGGTCAGCAATGCGGAAAACAACACCGGTGCTTCCGCGTATGTCAAGGCTGCTACCCGAGACACCAAGGCCTATATCAAGTCTAAGAAGTACCGCTGGATGGGTGTGGGTTACGCTGCCAATGACGATAAGCCCATCCGCGATCAGATTGCGAGCTATTTCAACTGCGGTCCCTCGGAAGATTCAATCGATTTCTTCGGATACAACATTTATTCCTGGTGTGGCTCCAGCGACTTCGAAGCGTCCGGGTACAACCGGCTCATTGAGTTTTTTAAAGATTACTCTGTCCCTATGTTCTTTGCTGAATATGGCTGTAACTTGCCAAGCGGTGGTGCTGCCCGTACTTTCGACGAAACGACTGCTTTGTATTTGAAGAACATGACCGACGTTGTTAGTGGGGGCATTGTTTATGAGTATTTCCAGGAGACGAATGACTATGGTAAGTCACTTTCTTCAGCGATACGGCGTGTGTCTGTACTCGTATATAATAAAGCCTAAAAAAAAAACTAATATGAACCCTATTCAGGTCTGGTCAACGTCAGCAATGACGGCTCCGCCTCCAAGATGAAGGACTTTTCCGCCCTCCAGAGTAAAATCAGCGCCGTCGACCCCAAGGGTGTCACAATGGATTCGTACAACCCCACGGCCAAGGCCATGGACTGTCCTGCTGTCGACTCATCCTGGGAAGCCAACGCGACCCTGCCCCCTACCCCCAACGACTCCGCCTGTGACTGCATGTTCAAGGCGGCCTCTTGTGTTCCTGCAAGCAGTCTCAAGGCTGACGACTTTGGCGATATCTTTGGTTACGTCTGTGGCAGCGACAGCTCACTCTGTGCTGGCATTGATGGAAACTCTACTACAGGAAAATACGGCACCTACAGCATGTGCTCCAGCAAGCATAAACTTGCCATTGTGCTGGACGCGTACTACAAGAAGAACAAGAATGCTGCTTCGTCATGCGACTTCAACGGTCAGGCCACAACCCAGACTGCGAGTGGTTCTCAGTCTAATTGTGCCAAGTTGGCCCCTTCAAACGGCGGAAACTCTACCTCTTCAGGTGGAAACGGCACTGACAGCTTTGCCGTGATGGGAGCGCCCCTGACCAGAGTTGGAAGCTCTGCTGTTGGGCTCTACCTGGTTGCTGCTCTGTTTGTCGTCGGCATGGTTGCCTGGTAGGAGACAATTTGGCACAATGCAGTATGTGTTGCGGAGTTGAAACCGGGCGGAATGGGGAGTTATTTGTATCTTTGCGAAGCACGCGTGTTGTGGTTTTAAGTTTTTGGACTAGATGCTCGAGCTTGTATAGATAATGTAGAAATGCGAAATGGAAATTCTGTTTGTGTCCCCTACTGCCTATGCAACAAGTCGGCGGTCTTGGTCCTAGACTCTAGAGCCTCGAGCTGTCCTGCTCGATCCGTTACCCAACCAGCAATGAATGAAGATATGTCGTCGGATTTCAGCTTGGGCTGACGGTCAACTCGACGATGGCCTGGTCCAATGGATGTGCTGTCGCTTTCCCGACCGCGACCGAGTCATGACCAGACCAACATGAAGCATCATGGGGTTCCAAAGACGAGAATTAAGGGGGCCATCCGAGGCCATGGGGGCAATCCATCGCTGACCCACAAAGCAGAGATGGACTGACGAGGTCGCTCAGGAATGGCAGAGTTCCGATTTTTCCCGGTGGATCAGTCGCAAGTATGTACATGATAACTCTTGGGAAATGCTCGTCGTGAATAATGACGGTCAGGATGGCAGTGATAAACCTGGTTGAGCGACCTCGTCCCTCGTAAAATCGTACATGTTATCACTATTGGCTTATGACCACCTAGGTAGCTAGTTGAGCGCTGCTGTTCCGACGACTGTCGACGTATTTGCATCTCGCGTCGCGTCATGCAGCCGCCAAAATGTGTACCAACGGGCACAATATTTGTCCACGGTGAATGCAAAAACGCCATCTTCAAACACACGGGTGAGGATTCCCTACGGAAGTTCCTGCATATGTGACGCCACGGGCACTGCAAGCCTCACTGCCCGCGTGGGACAGACAGTTGAAGGCACGCCACGTGCATTTCTCCCCTTGGCCGGTCAACATTGAAGGCATCGCCGGAAGCTTGGAGACGCCATCGGTCAGATCCGATATGTGCTGGGCAGCAGCAGGAAGGATTATGGCGGTGAAAAGAGGGTGCAGTAGCCTCTGGCAATAAATGAGGCGGAAAACGCAGTCAGTAGCCCGTGTCACAATGCCATTGTTTCCATGAAGTGCAGGAAAAACAACAATCGAGCGTTGCATTCCCCCACAAGGTCGGGGGTTTCCACAACCTCGGAGCGGGTGGGACGCAACACTTGCTAGTTACATGAAAGCCCATGACAACAAGGTCAGCACTGGCTGCTTGAGCCGCGATGCATGATGATTAACATAGGTAGGGTTCAATCTACATACGTCATGATTAGTAGCTGAAACGAAGCGGCCAATGATTTGACCGACGGTCGAGATTGTCGGCATCGTTCAGTCGCTGGTGGCACGGCCGGAGGGACGTAGGTTTGACGCGAATCATCGCTCGGCAGCATCAACTTGTGCCCAGAGCAGATGGATGGGCATCTGTTGTGCGCCTCCACCGCCAAGCGGGTTTGGCACATTGTCCCCCCGCGCTGCCTGTTGTCTCGATGGTTCCAAAACGCGAAGCTGCCCGAGTTGGCGGCAGTCCGCTTCATTTTCTTCATTCAAGCTTTCGTCGCTGCTGGGTATTCAGCCGTCAGGCCTTCGCGTGTCCTTGGAGGAGCTGCTCGTCTGTCCTCACCCCCAAAGCATCATCAATCATCACCTCCATCTGTGGAGTGTGTGAAGAAGCAGTAGCGAAAACGATTCATGCAGCAGCAGCTCGCCCCCGCAATTCCAGCCTCTGACGTTTGTTCCCTCGCGGCCCTTGTATCGCTCATTGACTCGCTCGCTCCCAGGCGGGGGAGCCACAAGTCTAAATACATCTATTTCGTTTGCCAAATACCCACCTTTGCAGCTTTCCCAGGCCGAGGCTTTCCCAATCGCTCACGGGATCCGGCGCTATCGCGGAGACAAAAGCCCTGGCCTGATATCAATCGTAGACAAGCGCTAGCAGCGACGGCTACACGGACAACCGGGGCTGCTGCTCACTTGCACTCGTACGTTGGCCTCGTTCTTTTTTTTTTCCTTCTCTCCTCCTTCTCTTCGTCGCACCTTTATTCTTTTATTTCTTTTCCTTTATTGGTCTCGCGTCGCCTTTGTGCTCGTCCTGACCACCCCGCAAACGTCTGGGATTCCTAGTCCCTTCTTCTCAACCACCCCCGCCGTCTCGAAGAACCAATTCGGCTATTGACGTCGCCCGTGGCTCCTTCCGCATCTGGATCCCCCATCTCACGTCTTCCCCCGCCGACAGAAAAGGCCGACGACGTTGACAAAAAGTCCCCTTGCCAAAGCAACATTTTCCGGCATTCATCTCCCACGCTTTCTTTCCGCTGTGCGCACGAGCCGATCTTGTCTCTTTTGGTCTTGGTATTTGAAACGACTGTCGGTCAGTCGCCGTCCAAGACTACAATCACACAACACCCCGTCTTCTTTTTTTTGGGTTTGCACCACCGAGATGAACGCCCCGATTTCGTCTCCCAGCACTGCTGGCTCCTCGGCTCCCTCGTCGACGCAGCAATCCCCGACCAACGCCCAGCCGTCGCAGTCTGTCCCCATGCTCGCGCCAGTCCAAATCAAAGCACCCTCGACCGAGACTTTTCTCAGGGATGTCAACCTTGTTGCTGAAGCCGCCAAGCGGGCGCAACTTGCTTGCCTCACCCGCGACTTTGAAGACTGTGGTCTTTGACCATTGGCCTTTCTTCTTTGAAAGTCAAGCGTCTCTTTTTTTTGTTCCTGAACAGCCGGCGTGCACACGACGACACCGTGGGACCAGAACTCGAAGCTTGTTTGACGAGACCACCAAGCTGTGCTATTTTATCGTACCACCAGTTCACTCTATTTTCATAACACGTCACGGATCCATCCGATAGACTCGATACATTAGCGGAGGAGTCATTACTTTGGGCCTTTTTTTTTCCTTTTTTTTGGCCTTTTATAGTCGGCGCAACAAGGCATTATATCTAGGGAGGAGTCTGTTCTGCGGCCAGGTTTGCTTTGCCACGGCGGGAGCTTCTTTGGCGGCCAAACAAAGTTTCGTTTTGCCCGTCTTTAACAGGAACGATACCCCTTGAAGGAGGAGCAGTAGATACATGTAATAAGAGATGAGGCGAGGTTGTACCTCATTTTCAGTACATTGCCAAACACTGCCCACGCTTAATATATACAAGTACATTCTCGGCAAAAGAAAAAAAAAGAATACCCCGCTTGATGTGAATTTCCCATTCCTTTCTTCTAAATCTTGGCCACCAACGACGCCCCTCCATCCACTCTAATCAGCGCGCCATTCAGATAGGCCCTATCACATGTTAGTCCGGAAAGAAGGAAAGAAAGAAACAACAAGATGGTACAAAAAAAACATCACCTCACCCAGCCTTGCTCGCCAAAAGACAGCCGAGCCAGCAACGTCCTCGTCCCTCCCGATCCTCCTCAGGGGGATATTCTCGGTGAGCACGTCCTCGGCAGCATCCAGCGTCGCCTTCATCATCCTTGTGCGGAAGCGCCCGCAGGCCAGCACGTTGGTCGTGACGTTGCGGGAGCCCAGGTCCCGCGCAATGTGCCTCGACAGGTGGTGCAGGCCGTCGATGCTGCCGCGTGGACGACGCGCGCGGGGTCGTCCCGGCTGCCGGCCCTCTCGAGCAGCGGCAGGCACAGCTGCGTCAGGGTGAAGGCGCGCTGCAGGTTGCAGGCTGAGCGTCAGGAGCTTGGTCCACGCCGCGTCCGGGTGCGAGTCCAGGTCGGCGCCCCAGGCGGCCCCGGCATTGTTGACGAGGACGTGCAGGCCGCCCGGGCGGGAGGGGGGCCGGGGAGGCCGCGCCCGCCTGCCACTCGTCAAGCTCCTGGAGGTCGCCGACGGCGGCGTGTCAGGCCGGCGTGTCGCGGCCCGTGATGTAGACTTTTGCGCCGTTGGCAGAAGCCCGTTGCTATCATGCGGCCGATGCCCTTGGCGCCTGTTGTTCCGGGGGGGGGGGGTTAGTTTTGTGAGCTGGAGGGAGTCACGCACCGCCGGTGATGAGGGCTCCAAAGAGAGTGTTTAGATCCATGATTGTGGTTAGGTGGCTTTGGTTCACGACGGAGGGCGAATTGGTGAATTGGTCATGTTGGATGCTCTCTGGAGAGGTGGTTGAAGCTCGATAGTAAAGGTGTCGAGATGCCGAGGCACGGTGGTGCAGTGGAGTCGGCCAGGTGGAGGAGGCGGGGGTGGGGCGGGCGACGTGAACGGGACGTGGGCGGCGGCTGTTGCACAGGGGGAAGACTATCATGTCTCACAGGAGGGAAAAAAGAAAAAAAAGGAGAAAAAAAAGGTGCAGCTGTTGATTTTGACGTCCTATTCCGCGATTGATGCGTGTGGGCTCCGACAAGGATTGACAAGAATAACGGCAGACTTGTTGCGTAGCGGCCACCGAGTCACTCCGAAGCAGAAGCAGAAGCCCAAGGGGTCGTGAACAATGGCCCTTAATAAGCAGCCGAAAATCGAAAATCAACGTTGCACCACCCTCAATACTGGCGAGGCCGTGTCTCACTGCCGGCCGCCGTAGGGCTGGGCAAGCTGGAACCACCCGCAGCCGCCGTCGTACTCGCGAGACATGACCTGCAGGTTGCATGAACGGCTCACGCGCGCGACAGAGTGTAGATGAACGCCAGGCCTCTTTTCTTTCTTTTAATTTTTTATTTTTTATTCTTTCTTTTTGTCTTATTTTACTTATTGATTTTTGAATTTTTTTTGAATTTCTTTTTTTTTTCGGGTTGACGTCTGCTCATCCCGCTCGTCCGCCTTCCATCGATCGTGTGCTTCTGCGGCGCCCTGGATCAACAACGCCTTTGGCCGTTCAAAGCTGCTTTGTCTGCGCAACGCCAAATGGCCAGCATCATAACATTCAAACACAAACACCATGTCAATGTTGAATAACGCTGTCCAGTCCACTACAAACGGCTGCCTCACGTGCCATCCACCAGCTGGAAGTTGGAATCAAACGCAACCCCTGACGTGGGATGATCGGATGGCCCCATGCTGCAGAGAATCACTCCACCCCCACGCCAGTTCGCGGCTGAATCGCAAGACCAAGACCAAGGCCTTTCTTCCATTGGGGAGATTTCTCCTTTGCGCCCCGGCAGAAAATCATCAACGTCCCGATTCCAAGGCGCCCGTTCCAAGATCCACTGCCCCTCCCCCAGCCCGGCTTGCGCCATCCCACCTCCCATCCACCCGAAACACCACGAAGCCTCCCATCTTCCTCTTTTCTTCCTTTCTCTCTCGTCTCCCCTTTCCCTTTTGATCTCCTGTCCCCTACGGCGGCTCTGCTCCATCATTCAACAATTCCTTGACTCACCCACCCGCCGCAAACATGGCCACCACCGCCAACCCCCCCAGCCGCCTCAGCCAAAGCTTCCAAAACCTCGCCTTCTCCGCCCACGGCGACCAATGGTCCCTCATGTACAAGGACGGCTTCCACCCCTGGGACCGGGACGGCCCATCCGACGCCCTGGAGGAGCTGCTCCTCACACGAGACGACCTCGTGCCTCGAGCCCAGGGCCACGACCTGCAGGGGAACCTGGTCCGCCAAACGGCCCTCGTGCCGGGCTGCGGACGCGGCCACGACGTCCTGCTGCTCAGCAAATTCGGATACGACGTCGTGGGATTAGACGTCAGCCCCGACGCCCTGCGCATGGCCGAGGAGAACAGGCAGAAAGCCGAGGGGACGGGACGATACGAACCCGAGCCGGGCTTGGAAAGGGGCGACATCAAATGGGTTTCGGGCGACTTCTTCTCAGAAGGCGTGCTGGATGGTTTCGGGACCGACGGTTCTGGCAAATTCGACTTGATATACGACTACACGGTACGGCCCGGCCTGCCCCCCCAACCCCTTCTTCTCCTGCAAGCGACTAACAGCAGCGAACATCGCAAACAGTTCCTGTGTGCCCTGCCCCCCGAAGCACGCCCCAGATGGGCCAAACGCATGTCCGAGCTCCTCCGCCCCTCCGGCCGCCTCGTCTGCCTCGAGTTCCCGTCCGGGAAGCCCCTCTCCGAAAAGGGCCCCCCCTGGGGTGTCACGCCGGAGATGTACGAGGCGCTACTGAGTGCTCCCGGGGAGGAAATATCATACAATGCCGACGGGAGCCCCGTGGAGACAACCGCCGCCAAGCCCGACGCCAATGCATTGCACCGGTCCGGCTTGATCAGGCCGGCCAAGACACATGCCGCGGGTACGAACAAGGACGGGACAGTATCGGATTTCATATCCGTTTGGAGCCGGTGAACCTGGCGGTATAAAAGAGATGAAAAAAAAAAAGATAGACTTTATGAGAAGACATTGGACAGCCGCATGGAACGGGGCACATCCCCCATAGAATTTTCAAGATATACAAAAGCCATCGCTATAGCAAACAGAGAGCCATTCACCCCAGAAAAAAAGAACTACATGCTCGGGCCCCAGAATCCATGTGACAAAGGGACACCCAACTCGAAATGCCTTCACTTCCTCCTCAGAGAATTGTAATGCTCGCCCAGCCCATAGCCGTGGCGATAATACGCCAGCCACAGCACCCTGCCCGTCTGCGCGCCCTCCTCCTCCCCGATCCTCTCCATCCTCCCGTCCTGCACCACCCGGATCTCGGCGCCGTACCGCCTGGCCAGCGCCATGAGCTCCAGCTGTCCCCCCCACTCGGCCGTGTCACGCACCTTGGCGAGATGACTCTCCAAATCGCCCTCCAAAAAGGGCGCGAAGTCATCCCCGTTGTCGCCCATGTACGCCGCCGCCGCCCGCCGCACCGTCCTGTACTCGGGCTCGCTCGCGTCCGTACGGCCCGTCGGGATCCCATTCTGCGACAGCTGGTCCGCCACCGCCGAGAACAGGCAGTGCCCGTCCGGCTCAATGTCCTTCTCCACGAGGCCGTGGGCCGCAAACGTCTTCTTCATGTACTCGCTCTCCCTGGCCCGGTGGTCCGTCATGCCCGACGCCTCCTCCTCCGCCTGCTGGGCCGCGGCCTCCTGCTCGGCTGCCCGCCGCGCGAGACGTTCCTTTTGCCGGTTCCGCTTCTTGCCCGGTGCCGCCGGCGCGTCGCTGTTCAATCTCATCTTGTCCACTGCTGTGCCTATTGTCTCGTCATCTGCCTCTGCTGCCGCCCGCTCCAGTCCGTTGGCTTCGTTGTTGCTGTTGCTGTTGTTGTTGTCGTCGTGTTCGGGCCCGACGTCGTGTGGTGTGCTGTCGAGGGAAGCAACTTCGGCGGCTTGCTTCTCTCTTAATTGCCGCTCCATTTCAGAGCATTCGTCGTTGACGCCCTTGCGCGTCTTCTTGGTGGCATTCTTCTTTTTGCTGGTGATCCGGCCTTGGAGGTCTTTGAGCTCACGCCGGTGGCGGGCCGTCATCTGATCCAGAGACTCGCCTTCCATCTCGGCATGTCCCTTTGTGTTTCAGCTGAGAATAGTACAAACGGCGTGTGTGGTGTGCTTGGGAGTAATTTGGAAAGCGACAGAAGCTTCGCTAGTCGTCCCGAATTTCATATATAAATGACTACGGAGTAGCGTAACTGAGGATGGACTCGCAACTTTTCCGTGGCGGGGCGCGCTCCTCGTCTTGCCAGGGACAGAGGGGCATGTGGGGAACCTCCGAAGCTTGGAAGCTTGGGAAGTTTGTCGTCGTCGAACAAACGGCAACGAGCAGCATTCATCCGAAATCCACTCCAAACCTATCATGTTGCATCGACAAATTCACCAAAACAGCTGTTAATCATATAAATATGCATCTACAATGCGCAGGATCCTCAGAATTCGCTTCATTTTCTCCAAAGATACTATCGCTAAATCTTATGCACGCGAGAAATTTTCATAGCCAGGATGGAAACCACCAACCCGATACAAGAGACACAATGTAAAATCACTATCGGTAGTGCTAGAAGCATTTCCCCTCGAATAGCCCACTCGCACCAATGACTGCATAAAAACGGCCCTGAGTCGAGCGCACTGTAAATGAGCGTGTAAGAAGAGCAGACATGAGAACACCAAACGCCGTGCATAATAGAGGAAACTGCCAACGGAATGGAGACTGCAATATGAAAGTCGTCGATTCGGGACGTTAAGAGTCCAAAGACAAAATGAGAAAAAAACGGCGAAAGGGTATCCGTAATGGTGTAAAAGTCGGGGCACATAAGACTCAGATGACGTTGATTGAAAAGTAGTGTAGTGGTGATCTTCGAGGGCGATTCTAGAATCCCTTGAAAGGGTCGTCACGGAGGAAGTAATCTTCTTCAACTGGGAATCTTCCTCTAACGTAAAAATCCTCACTTCTTCCCGCTCTGTATGAATAGCTGTCTCGGTGTCGGTTGCGGCTGTTTCGCCTTCGAATCTCCTTGCTCCTTCGTCTGGAATTCTTGCAATACTCTTCACAGTGATCATCGGGATAGTCGGTATACTGGGAGTAGGCTAAAGGACTAATGAACGCTTCCATCCTCACAGTTCCAATGGCATCAAAAAAGTTACTAGGGCGAGATGACGCCTCAGACGTGCGCTGTGATGATGCTGTTTGACTCATGTTCCAAGTCGTGTTGGTAGAAGCTTGGCTTTGATAAACTTCAGATGACATTGTCGTATCGAGACTTCCATTTGCCGTGCTCTGGCCTGAGTGGTGAAGTCCGCTACCGCTTCCTGCCGGTCCAGAAAATCCTCTAAAAGAGAGTGGAGGCGCAACATGCCCTCCAGTGTTACTTCGTTTACGCCCATGTGTTGCCACGGAGTGAACGGTCCGCTCTGAAAAGCGAGGGATGAACGGTGGCTCTGCCGCTTCTCCAGACTGCTCACGGCTGTGCCCTCCAGAAACTGCCGATGAAGAATCCTGCAAACGAAATCCTGTAGCCTCGCTCCTTCGAGATGATGGAACACTGGGAATGCTAGATACACCAGGAGCGCTAACCTTGGTGGCCGTTCTGCCTTTGGCGAGCCTAATGGAGTCTCGTATGCCGCTTCGTTTATGCTTTGGCTGTGGCGCTTCAAATTCAGGCAACGGCTGGTGCTGCTGCTGTTGCTGCTCTTTAGTATTCGGGTGAGGAGCTGAGATGATCTCGGGCACCGCTTGAGATGAATGGGCCAGGAACGATAGCGCCGTGAGCCAGAGGTAATGTCTCTCGGCTGATGATGCCGTAAACTTCAAGGCTCTTTGAGGTGTCAAAATTAGAATCGATCGGTTGAAAACAGTCGGCATGACTTTAGGGGCGGGATTATCATCCTTGACGTCCAGGACTGACTGGATCGTGACTGTAGCATTTTATTAACAATGCATCCCCAAAGCCCCAGACATGAGACGGTTCACTTACGTTTGCGGCCAGTCTTGCCTAACAAGGCGCTACCCGACGAGGGTTGTTTGCTGCTCCAGAGAATGGATCTTTCATAGGGTGCGAGCCACACCCATCTCCTGTGCCGGTCGTTGCTGCTGTCGTCCTTGCCTGTGTTTTCAGGAACACTGAAAGACTTGCGTCGCCGAACATACTTCAACATCCACTCACCCACCATGGTTTGAGCTATAGCGTCAACAATGCCTGTTGTGTGAGAAAAGCCGGTATCCGTCGTGGGCACGGTGTTATTGGTATTGTCCGTGTTGGTCGACAGGTCATGTCGGTGTTTGCGATAGCTGGAAAAGCCTCTGTCGCGTCCATTACGAGGAGTGGTTATGTCGTTTCGAGGCAGAGGTGGCAAGCCAGGACTTTCCGGTGCTTCGGTTGATGGAGACAAGGGTGGCGGAGATCTACTTCCGTGCCTGCGGTATCGATGAGCCCTTGGCAAGGCAGCAGCGGAACGAACTTTGCGTATACTGTGTGACTGATAAGACGAACGACTGCTACCTCTGCGGTGCCAAACATCTCCTCTTGTGGGACTTTGACGGCCATCACTTGGCGAATAAAGACCAATTTGTGACCTTCGCGAGCTTGCCCGGTTAGGTATAGGAAACGGGGGATATTTGCCGTCGGGAAGACTAGGGCTTCTGGAGCGACTTTGCTGGGTAACAATCCCGCTCTGAATGATGGCAGCCTTCCGTATAGCGCTGGTACGATTGGACGTATTGGGTGCTGGAGTTGGATGGGGCTTCTCATAAGCTCGACTCGACTTTCTACCATGTCCCTTCGGCTGATTTTCTTTGTCAGCAAGGCCAAATGCATTATATAGCTCAGTACCGATAGGCTTCGCTGGGTTCCTGGTCAGTGGTTTAGGTCTTTGCTTTTCGGATGATGTAGTGGTGGTTCCAAAAGATCCTCGCTTGGTTGCCCTGGTTGAATTTGACTGTGGTCTAGGTGCAGACAAAGCCGTTCGGTATTCTGCATCACTGCCATCCAAGTCTCCAAATTCGTCACCTTCGTCGGAACTAGCAGTATCAAAGCCAGCAAGTATGCTGCTAATGCGGTTGCTATGTCTAGTGATCCCTTTTTGAGACAACGATGGTTGGTCGTCATGTCGGTTTCGATAATTGTCTTGTAGCTCCTCGTCGTCTCCTCGCGAAGTGACGGGGGATGACGCTAATTCAGGTCGATCATGACTATTTGTTAACCGCCTTGGGTTTCGCGGCGGGACCGGTGTGAAGTCATTGTCTACCCTAGGTTTTGATACGTTGGGTGATGTCGGTCGGGACGATATAGACGAGGGCTGCAAATGTGCTGGCAAAAGGGCCAATCTTTTGTCAACTTGGATCCCTTCAGTTTGCATAGAAGCATCACTGGTTGGGAGAGTCGATGAAAGATTAACTTGGCACCCAAAATGCTTAAAGTGCTGCGGTAAACGAGGCTCTCGCGGAGTTGTTGGCCGACTCGTCGGAGGCTGGATGTTGATTGTGGGAATGTCCAACGGTGGCGGGGACGGTGCCCTTCTCGATGGTGGCATTAAGCCTACGTCGGAAGCAACAGGAAGTACTTCTTCTGTCTGAGTTGAGGATGTGACCATCAACACAGGAACATGTTCGAGTTCAAGGAATGGTGTCTGTGGTGTTTTAGGCGGACTGAGCGGCATCTCCACGGTCTGGGCAGCTGCGGAGACCATCTTGTTGTCATGCTTTAGAGGTTCAATAATCAATGGCTGGACGACCTGCACTCTTTTCTTGCGCTGATTCGCCTCAATTTCAGTATCTGCCCGACTGGGCGTCTCATATTCGGGAGTCTTGACACGCTGAGCAGGGACATCTGGGGCTGATGATTTGAACCGCAGAGCAGGTGAAGGGGGCGGAGAATACTGTATGCCGCTGTCAATGTAAGACACCCCCCCCGGTGCCGCCGCCTGAAAAACTTGCGATTCAGTTTCTTCATCCTCGCCTTCCAATGCTTCCAGGACCGATGGGTTCATAAAGAGTTTGCCCCGAGCCACACTTCCAGGACGCTTCAGGCTTTCAATGCTATGGTTTCTGACGTGTAATCTACCAGCCACACTATCACGGCTAAGGGTTCGCATGTGTTTCGGACTTGTTCGTATAGACAGGACGCTGTCACGGCCATCGACATCTGCCTGATCGTCATCATCGAAGTTTAGTTCGTCGGCGAGTGAATTTCCAGGCTGCAGTATGGGACCACTCATCAAAGAGTGTCGAATACTGTTGGTCATGCTCATGGTCCTAACGCTAACAGCATCATTTTCTTTGCCACTTTCTTCCGCGTCGCTCTCGTGATCATGAAGAGCACCGTTTAGAGTCTTGTTCGCAAGATTAGCTTGATACGCCGCAACTTCGTCGAGAACCACCTTCAGGCGACTCTCAGCAATATGTAATTTTCGTTCGTACTTTCGGCGTTCGTCCTCCCAACCATCTTTCTCCTGTGCCCAGAGCTCATGAACCCGCAGAGAATCATCTTCCTGGCTACGAATCTTCCTTTGCGCCAGATCTAGCCTCTTCTTTGCCTCGGAAATAGAATCAACAGCTTCGTCTCTTTCTTTAGCAAGTTCTCCGAGTGCGGATGATGTTCCACCCTCGAGAAGCGAAAGTTGTCGTTTCAGAGATCGACTTTCTTTTGAGGAAGTAGTCAGGCTCTCTTGTAGTTGTTCATGCTCTTCCTTCACGGAATGGAGTGCATTCTCTAAGCTCTCTATTTGCTTGGTCTTCTCATCTTGGTCCCTTCTCAATGCAAGGATCTCGGAGACTAGATTGGCATGAAGTGTTGGGGTAAATCTCCGAGGATCTAGAATGCTAATGGTCTCATTATTCGTTACGTCTTGGGACGATCTCTTGTCTGTACGGTCGGTAGACATGTTGCTCGGTGAAGAGTCTCTTGCTGGAGGAGTCACGGATCGTCGACAGGATCGTTTTGACTTTGTTGAAGGCGAAGGCGTTCGAGAGCAGGTGGGCTTTGAGGTTGTTGACAATACAGATATTTCATGTCCTTTCGCCCTGTGCTCATCATCTGTTTCCCACTCCGTCATATCTCTGA